CTTTTACACCAAAATTCCTAGGTTAGAATCGTACAATGATAGTTGGGAATTTTGCAGAATAAGACAAAAGCATATGGATAGGATCCAGCTGGAACAGTGAGCTGGAATTCCTACTGAGGCAGAGGTTGACTAGTCATAATCTTCAGAAGTTGGAAAATGCAACGTAATGCAATGCAAAATTTACCTTTTGTCAAACTCATTGTTGTCCATCATAATGTAGCCAATTAAGCATACCTAGAGATGTAATTCTTAATCTAGACTAGAGCTTGAGAAAATACAATGATTGTCCTATTACAAAATTGTCAAGGGAAGCCAAAAGAAATATTCAAAATGCATACATTAACAGGAAGGATTGCCTCTACCTTCAGACTTACAGGAGCTTCACCAGGCTGCTTACAAGTATTTCTTGGAGCTTATTGCTGGTATGAAGCATATGCTTTCAACAAGGGAGGTTGAGGATCGGGTCCATGAGTCAGCCATCCAAAAGAGAGCTCGGCACCAAATGGGGACACCGCAGGAGGTCAACTTGAAGCCTGAGGAGTAGACATATGAATTACCAAAGAGAACAATCATTTTCACAAACCCTAAGCCCTCTTCTCCAATTTCCCCTTCTCACCATATTTCCCCCTTTCTTATAACTGAAAAACCCTTATTCGCAGAGATTAAAGATTAAAACGAAGTGGGGCCCAAAGCACGTAATGGAACGTCTATAATACTGACGGAATAGGTAACTTGAGATCATTTTTCAAAGGTTGGGGGGTATTTTGAGATGTTTGCAAACACAGGTGGTAATCTGAGACAAGTTGGAAAGCACAGGGGGCATGTACATAATTAAGCCTTAAAAAAAATTAAAATTAAAAGAAAAATCAGATAATGGATCCTCTTTTTATGGAACACAACTACCCATTATCTTTTAAAAAGCCTCTCGCAGGCGCGTAAGCACATGCAGAAAGGTTAGTAACAATAATGTATGAGAATAACTTACTATAGTTCAGTTTTTTTTAACTTGGGGGGAAATTGAGGTAACTTGAAAAGGAATGGTCAAAGATTCATTCTCATGTGAAAATTTGTTTCTTGCAAAAAGAATTCAAAACAAAACCATGTATATATAAAAATATTTTAGCATATTTTCACAAAAACATAAGTGATATGGTGGTTAAGGTGTTGAATGAGTAAAATGGGAGGGCTTCGAATCCCCTTGGTGTTTTTTTTAATATAGAAATTTATCCTATATAATAAATGTTAGCTTGCAGACATTTGAAAGACCTTATAAATATTAAACGCCGAAAATACAATCACAAACACATCCGCAACGAGTTGGATAAGGCGCAGTGGCTGGTTTGACAAAGGGAGGGGTTCGAATCCGATATCGTTTGACCACTCAATTGTGTTATTAAAATTTTAGCACTTTCTTGAAGCACTGTGTTCATTGATTTTGTTGGATACAATTGGATGTCAAAACGGTTTCCAGTTTGTCTAATTTTTTGCAAGGATGATTTATGAATGTAAACTTAAAAAATAGATCGTTTGGATCGTTGGAAAAAAAATTCATAGGGTATCCTAAAGGGTGTCCCTCAAATAAAATTATTTGAGGGATCCCTCAATATAAGGGGACTATATATATACTTTGAAAAATAAAAAAATATAGTCCTAGTCCTAGTCCAAGCATACACCAAATGCAGGATAAGTGTTATCCAATTTAGACCAAGCCAAGAGAGTCCCTAAGCATAGTCCATGCCAAGATAGTCCTATGTAACAAATGAGCCCTTAGAGTGATATATAATCATTGTTGCTTGCTGCGAGCCGATGTGGTAGACAAGAATGTGATTACAAATTATGTAAAACACTAACACCCGAAACATATCTTTTTTTTATTATAGAAAATATGGTATTTCATTAAACCGAAAAAAACATTACATGGTAAGAACTAGCATGTTAACGGCGGCCTCGTTAAAACTTTCCCAGAGAAACCAAATCTCGGAGTAGGAAAGAGTACCACCCATGCTATTGACTAAACAGAAGAGTTAAACAACTTATACGAAACAAACCAACCTAAACCGCAACCACAAAACCCTTAAAACAACATCCCATCAGTACGTAGGTACTGTCAAAGAAGTCCTCCTATGATCTAGAAAAAACATCATAATTCTTCGTACATAGTAAAAAACGTACTATGAGTATCAGAATATATACAGTCAATCACCCAACTGCAAAATCATTGAAACACATCCCATCACTACGCAGATACTGTCAAAGAAAGCCTCCTATGATCTAAAGAAAGCATCATAGTTCTTCATACATAGTCAAAAATGTATCGTGAGCATTATAACAGATCCAGCCAAATACCAGCCGCCACCTCCAATTTTCTTGATCCAGAACCCCAGCTGACAAGTAAGGGAGACCAAGATTGGCCTCTTAGCCTGAAGAAAATTCCAAAGAAAGATCTTCATAGTAGGAACGTTCATCGATTGCCAAGCCCATGAACGTTCCATAGGAAAATTATTAGGGAGATCTTGGAGACCCCTCGAGGGTGGTCTTCTCCGCCTTGTCAACAAAATCCTCGATACAAAAACTATGCTTACCAGAAAAATCCATGCCACTAACAATCATATGTCCAACACCAGTTTTTGCACTCTGTTGATTCCCGCTTGGTGCCACATACTTGTCATCCCCTTGAGCAGAAGAGGTGGTGGCCATCTCCATAGCGTTAAGATGGAGACCCCTCACCAGCGACTGGCTCCTTAGGAACCCATAAAGGAAGCCAACACAGCCACCCCACGGAGAACAAATGAGCAAAAAAAAAACATCATACCCAATTCACCAAGAAGAACCCAATGAGACAATCAGAGAAGATTGAGAGAGACGGCGAAGAGAATGAGTAAAGAAAACTGGACAAACCCTAACCTTAGCCGTCAAGACTCTCCTCATGTGAACGAGAGAGCGACCCAAAAGAGACCTAAAAAAAAACACCCGAAACATATCTAAATTTCAAAAATCATAAAATAAAATAAAATGCCAGAAATTATTTGTTCATTCTTATATTTTGATGAATTTTAGAGAGACGGGTCAACGACCTACTATTAGCAACATTGATATTATTCACAATTTAACCAGCTAGCAAGACCACTCATCTTCTTGGATCATCTGGTACCAATTATTGGGCGTACTAGCTTAAGATCAATTAAGTATCATGCTCAAGACAATTGGGCTGTAGCTTGGTGAGGTGTTCGCTAATGGCAATGGCCCGTTACTACAAGGAGAGGCTAAAGGGGTGGGCTGTGGTTGGGAAAGCTAGGGTGGGTATATTAGGAATTTCGTTTTAGTGGGATGAGATCAAATTTCAACAGTATATAATATATAACAATTAGAGAAAATTAAACAAAATTAATTAATGAATTAATAGAAAATGAGGTTGTGACATTATAGAAATGAACTTGGGAATATATTAATGAATTAATTAATATAAGACAAAGATCTCAGATGATGATCCTCTTGGGCTGAGCATGCGCATGTGATTGTGATGTGGCACCGTCTTAACTTAAGTTTTGTAGCGAAATCCACGACCACGACTACGAATCTCTATAAATAAATAAAAAGCCAATCGTAATCTGAGTGAGAGGGTAGCTTAGGCTAGCGATAGACAGCAAAAATCGTAATCTAGCGTAAAACGGTGACCAACTACTGACAACAATGCATAAAACACGTATATTTAATGGATAGAGGGAGCAGCAGATCCTTCTGTTTACGTACGAATTTTTTGTATATTTTACAGCTTTGTCTGAGATCCAACTGGCAAACTTTGAAATCTATTCCCAGCAAGCTCCATGCTTTTCTTCAACAAAATTAATTAAAACTTCAACCACCATCCATCAATCAACCATCTTTCTATGGATTTTGGAATTCAAACTCAGGGGGGCTCTGCAACAAAAACTTCATTTCGTTGAATTTCAAAGCCCAAATGACTCCTTCATGGCATTAGACCCATATCCGAGCCTTGATTCTGCTAGGCTTCTGATTGGCCCAAAATCTAGGGTTCATCCATATCTAATCTAGTCCATTGAACTCCAAATCTGAAACCCATTTTTATTTTTTTTCTGATTTCTCTCATGTTCAATTAATATCTGTGATTTGTTCCATCTTTGTCCACATAAACTTCCCAGTTCATTCATTATTAGCTAGAAATCAGGCAAGAGCTTCTTCTTCTACTCTACTTAACCCAAAAATTAATGCTTACGTACAGAAATACAGTATACACAAAGACCGTACGGCCTTTTCAGAAGCCCACTACGCGTCACTCCCTGTCCTCACTCTAATTGACTAGTCATTTCCTCTCCTTTCCCTCTCTCTCTCTCTCTGCGCCCACAGCAATGGTGTCACTATTGTCTTTCTTCTTCGTCTTCTTCACCTTCGCCAACCTCTGCAACTCCCAACAACCCACCACCACCAAAGATTACCTCCAGCTCCCACTTCTCCACAAGCAGCCCTTCTCTTCGCCCTCACAAGCCCTCTCCCACGACACCCACCGCCTCTCCCTCCTCCACGCTCGCCGCCACGACATCAAATCCCCCGTCGTTTCCGGCGCCTCCACCGGCTCCGGCCAGTACTTCGTCGATCTCCGCCTCGGCACCCCACCCCAGAGCCTCCTTCTCGTTGCAGATACGGGCAGTGATCTGGTATGGCTCACCTGCTCCGCCTGTTCCAACTGCTCCAATCGCGACCCCGGTTCGGCTTTCCTCGCCCGCCACTCCTCCACATTCTCCCCGTACCACTGCTACGACTCCGCCTGCACACTCGTCCCCCAACCCGACCCGAGTCCCTGTAACCGCACCCGCCTCCACAGCCCTTGTCGTTACGAGTACACCTACTCCGACGGATCCCTAACGGCCGGGTTCTTCTCCAGAGAAACGACGACGTTGAAAACCAGCTCCGGGAGAGAAACCCAGCTTCCAAACTTATCGTTCGGGTGCGGGTTTCGGGTCTCGGGTCCGAGTGTCACCGGTCCGAGCTTCAATGGGGCACACGGAGTTATGGGCCTGGGACGTGGGCCCATCTCGTTCGCGTCTCAACTGGGCCGCCGGTTCGGGAACAAGTTCTCGTACTGTCTCATGGACTACACCCTATCCCCGCCTCCGACTAGCTACCTGAGAATCGGCGGAGGCTTCCCGCACGACGTCGTTTCGAAAATTCGCTTCACCCCCTTGCTATTGAACCCTCTCTCCCCCACATTTTACTACATTGGGATCAAGAGTGCATCCGTCAACGGCGTTAAATTACCTATTCACCCCTCCGTCTGGTCCCTCGACAAGGCCGGTAATGGCGGCACCGTCATCGACTCGGGAACCACGCTAACCTTTTTACCCGAGCCGGCTTACCGCCTCATCCTGGCGGCGTTTAAGCGGAGCTTGAGACTCCTTGCGAAGCCAGCCAAGCCGACTACGGGCTTCGATCTTTGCATCAACGTGTCGGGGGTGGCGAGGCCGAGTCTACCCAGGCTGAGTTTCAGACTCGTCGGGAACGCGTTGTTCGCTCCGCCGCCGAGTAGCTACTTCATAGACACGGCGGAGCAGGGAAAGTGCTTGGCGATCCAGCCCGTGGATTCCGGGTCGGGTTTTGGGGTGATAGGGAATCTGATGCAACAAGGTTTCCTGTTCGAGTTTGACAGGGACAAGTCGCGGCTCGGTTTTTCACGTCATGGCTGTGCGCGACCGTGACAACGAAACGAGTCCGAGGCATGACTCGGGGCTGAGTCCAAACTCATTTTGTTTTCCTCTTCTTTTTATTTTTTTCCACTTTGATTTTAATAATTAATTGTTTCTAAGTATAGAGTGAAATTATTTTTGGACATTGTGATGTGTTGTGTGTGGGGAGGGGATTTGGTTGTTTTTGTTTTTCCTTTTTTAATTGGTTTTCCCCAACTCCAGGTGCTGCTGTAGTTATTTATTTTCATTTCGAAGTTTACTTTAACAATAAAGTGTTAGGCAGAGGTGTGTTAGATTAGATTAGTTGGTTAAAACAGTAAGTAAGTAAGCCGACGTCGCGTATTTAAGTTAAAAAAATTTAGACTATGTCGTAGATTATAATGGTGGGGACATTGTAGCCGTTAGAGGCATGGGGTTAAGAAATAATGTCACTCTAATCTTGTGGTCGTTTCTAGTTAGAGATTTTAGTTGAGGTGCAAATTGGATAGCATGGTTTGGCTATCAAATTATTTTTGGATTAAAAAAAAACATGAAATAAATAAAGTTAGATTGGAGAAAATTACATGGCTGTGATTGTGTTGTCCGGATCCGAGTCGTCCGAGTTTGATGATGTCGTGAAATTGGAATTGAAGGTGCTTTTTGGAGCAATATTCTCTTGTCACGTCAATGTTAATTGACCATACCATCCATTTACAACTAGTTTGCGCTGTTCGCCTGGTCGAGGTGGTCCTTTCGGGACAATGATATGATCTTATTTTTCTTCCCTTTTTTTTGTCCTGTAATTTTCTCAGTGAATGACGACAGACAATGCTGCTTTCTCAGGGCTGTTTTTTTTCATTAATAATGAGAATATTCGATTTTGGTAATTTTATTTAGGCTAACATTTGCACAAAAATTATTACTAAACTAATAGTTGGTTGTTAAATATCACCTACTAATTACTCCATGAATAACACTTAAAAAATACAAGCAACTGAATGTGCATTGGCAATTTGGCATTGCAGTCTGCAGAGAGAGATGACTTTATTTTCATTCAACAAGTAATAATATAGAGATTGGCTGAGAAGTTGAAGAGCATGACACATATATATTATTCATAATAAATATTAAATATGTGAAAGTAAAAATGTGACAAATAAATAAATAAAGGAGCAGGATGAGAGAGAGCATCACATAACATGCATATGAGTGAGGGAAATTACTGATGATCCTACCCTAGCTATCTTCTTCACAGCTGGCTAGCTAACCATGACTGCTCTCTAACACTTCAGCTGGGCCTCCTTCACATTAATTTCTGTTTTCTGTTTCTGTTGCGGAGATATGAACATTAATAAATCGTGCATATATATGTATATACAGACACACACACATATATGGACACAACACAACACAAACCTTATCTTTCTCTCTCAGTCTCATCATCAGTCTATGGCCGCAGCATCTCTCTCTCTCTCTCTTTACAAAATACAAAATACAAAATACAAAATACAAATCATCATAATTGTCTATGTGATCATGAACACGAGCACGGCATATACAAATAAAAAACACAATTAACATTCTTATTTATTACTAAGGAAATAATTAGGCACATTTCTTAATGTTATTAGTACTAATTAATAATGGTCTGCTTATAATCCTTTTTGCTTATGAATTCGACCATCTTGTGTTTGTGGGTGGTGGGCAAAGAAAAAGTATATCAATGTTTGGTAGGATAATGCAGAAGCAATCATTCGTTTCGTTTGCCACACACCAACAAACATTCCAAGAGACTAAACCTGCCTTTACTATTATGTTTGCGGTGGCTCTTGCATTATCCGATGCTTCCATAATTTCGCAGACTCGTGCATCCATATCCATTCCATTATCAACAATTTGATGGAGCCTACAAATTGTAAATGCCTCCCATTGGTTTCCAAATTTTATCAGGAACCCCACTTTGTTGGGTTGGGTCCATTATTCAATGATTCATACACCCACCCTTTCATTCGCCAAGCTCCAAGTGCATCCATTTTGGCCCAACGCACACTTCTTATAGCCTGTGATTAGAATAGAGCCTTCATCCCATTTCATCATTAACATCCGATTGATAAAGCCCACAAAACCCATTTGTTTTGTTGTTTGAGAAATAATGCAATTAATGCAGGTAAAAGTTTGTAAGGTGTATGAAAAAGACTTGAGTTTTATTTATTTTATAGAACCGATACTGGAGGAGTGGGAAATCAAACTTAAAACTTGAGGTGCGTACATGAGTAAATTATCATAACCACTTGAGTTACAAGTTTTTTGCAACTAAAAGGTTTTGCATATATTTTCTTTCATGTATAATATACAGCATCAACTCCTTCTAGTTGGTTTGAAACGATTTCATGGAAATATCTTTTAGTAGAAGAAAAAGAAATGTAGGCGATTGGTAGATGAGGTTCATTTGTATGATCAACTAAAAATACTTAAAAAGCACCTTTGCTTTCCCATCCCCAAAAAGAGATAGGGAGACCCTGCTTAAGATAAAAGTCATTAGGCCAAAGCCCCCCTAGTATCCTGGCAGGTACATATGTTGCACTTTCTAAAGACTGCCATTTTCAGCTCCTCTCTCTCTCTCTCTCTCTGGTTTACAATATATATAGGAGTTACTTCACTTTCGGCTGGAGAAAAATGAAATTTCTGGTATAGTTGACAAAGACGTATGAACTGGTGGAGGGTATGATTGGAAGCAGAAGAGCACTGTCCCACCATGGGGACACATCCCTTTGGAAAATTGGGTGTTCTTGTCCTACAAATCAAAGGATAAACTATCTCCAACTCAATATTCTTGTTCATCCATGACTTGGACAGCTACTCAGGTATAGGGGTAGAAAAACACTATACTATACCCAGTCAAGCACCATGGACTGCTTTATTGGGAATTTGAAGTTTTGTGGAATTTGGCTCAAAGCAGAGATTTTGTATGGCCCCACTCACAGATCCTATTGATCATCACATTTAGCCAAAAATATGACCGTCCATTCATGTTGGCTTCCTTTTGGTTAGTTTAGGACCCTGAGATTAAAATGTTGATTGTTTAACTTAATGATCTGCATTAATGGTAATGGAACAACATCAACCATTAGATTATTTCTTTAACAGTTGATTAAGTTTAAGATGATGCCCTCGCTCGTATGAAATATTAGGTATGTTATAACTTGCAGGTTGCAGCTGGTGAATATTAATTTGTTTGCTTCTCTGTCAAAAAAAGCAGTATCCAAATTGATAGGTAGGTAGGTTTCAACGTTTGGTTGGAGTTCAAGTGTAAGCTTTTGGAGAGAAATGTATTTTTAATAATGACTTAATGGGAATATTACGTATGTAAGAAAAGTTGCTGCATTTTATTTTATATATAAACACAGAGAGACACAAAGGAAAGGATCCTATTACTTTTATCTAATAAGTGACAAAAGGATATAGTTTTATTTAAATGAGTGCCTAATCTCTTCTCTGTTTTATAACAGGGCAAACTCAGAGGGTGCTTAATATATTTGCAGAGAAGCTTAAAGTTGTGGACTTCATTACTGCTAGTCTTTGCAACTTGCAAGCACACTAAGCTTGCCAAAAAGCCCTTTTTTATATAATTAATATACCACTTCAACTTAAACAATTGTTCCTCCGTACGATCTAACATATGTATCCTGCGATATTAATTCGGGGAAAAAGGAAATCTGGAAATTGAAAATAAAGATGGGATGGTTTTTGTTTTGGGTACGTGACTGGTACAAGGACTGATTTGGATTCATCAGAAATATTTTATTGAGTGACAGGTACAGAGCACTAGGGTTTGCAAGTGGGTAGCTAGAAATCTCTAGAAAGAAAGGAAGCGGCTGAATGAGTGAAATGGGAAAACAAAAAAATATGTAGGCCAAGTACTAAGCATCAATTATGGAAGTGGAACCTGCCTTTGATAACTTCAAAATCGGCAGTTCCAACTTCCACCACACTGAAAGATTTCAAGCTTTGCTGTAGTTTGTGAGTTAATTACGATTAATTTATGTATAGTCAGCCGATTCATTTCACCCAAGTTTAAATAAACTCTTTCGCTAGTTCCCATAGCGTTTAAGTAATTTCCGACCCCTTTTTGGGATGGCATTGTTTTGTTTCTACAAATAAACCAGTAACGGTCAGAATTCACAAAGAGCATAAATTGGACATATGATCTTCTGTGCTGTTGGAGGTATGTCTGTCGAGCTCTTTTGTAATTTAATTTGAGTACTAGAACAAGATGTATATAGTATAGGAGAGTATGGTTGGCCCACTAAGAATTAAAGTTTGCTTGTGAAGGTAACTTAAGGCTTTTCCACAATAGATCCATCATGCGTGTACTTAACCCCTGGTTTTCATGATTGCAGACGAATGTAGGTTTTTTCTTTTCTTTTCTTTTTTCTTGCTTGTGCTAAAATCTAAATATTTCATTCATAATTAATATCCATGAGATCCAACATGTAACATAATTTGGTTTTTGTGTTTATAAGTTTAGATTATTTGTTTTGGTAAAGACTGAAGACATGCATGAATGGTGGATAAGAAAAAAACCAGAAAAAGCATATGAAAGTGAAAAATGTGAAGGAGAATTCAAAGAGCACTCATTATTAGAAGGCAACAGACAACAGGTACTGGTAAGTTGCGAGGTTTCTCTCTCACGATGTATGTATGCCAGGAAATGCAGAGGAAGAGGCATATATAAGTTAAGCACCAATAAGCAACAATAGTGCTCTCAAAGGGAACCAGCGTCATGACAGGGTGGGATTGATGTCATCATAAACCCCACATAGAAAAGAAAGCCCTTCTCGTGCGTTATGTTAGTGGTGCTGCAGCTATCATCAAATGTTTGAATCAGCATGCTGTAATATATATATATAAGTTTATAATAAAAATATAATAATAAGCTACAAAAAGATAGAAAGATATATATTTTATAAATAAATAAATAAAGAATTGGGACCAAACCAGCCATGCGTGTGACCAGTGACCACAAAGTCATATTTCTCTTCAAAGATAACCCTCTCCTCTCCCTTCCCATAGTCTCCAAGCCCTAGCTAGAATTTGAATACATATATATTATTGTATAAAAAAATAAAAGTAGACTGAACATGTATAATAAAGAGGTTCCAGGCTAGTGCAGACGAAAATAGTAGCAGTGCCTTGTGACTGACCCAATATGGTAAAGAGAAGACTGCCGTACAAAA